CCAGATTTCTAGAACTAAGCTTTTTCCTTCTGTCACAAATGATATTACCTTTCTATTCATGTGACTTACTATTTTCCCTCTTAAGTATAAGATTACTGTTTCTACTTTATTCAAATCATTTATAATGTTATAATGTCTAAAGTGTATTGTTAGATTTGTTTTAAACACTTCTAGATCTTTCCCTTTCTGTTCTGAGAACTTTAGCAGTTTCAGGTTGATTTTCCTTGTTCCCTCTATATTACTCTTTTTCTAGTTACTAGATTCTGAATTTAGTGTATAAGAGTCTGATGAACTTGACTCTAAACTAGTACTACTTTAATAAGTCTAATACAACTAATTATAATCTAATGTTGATGTACCTTCTACTATAAAGGTATCTAGTAACATAGACTGTTTAATTTCTTTAACTGTCTAGCCTTCCTAAGTAATAATTTCTGACTAACCTTGAAGGCTTCTAAGGGATCCTAGTAGACTATCTGGATGTTGTGTTTCAATTCTACTATAGTCTTGAAATGTTTGGATTCCTCCCTGTATTATGTTAACAAGCTCTTCTTCTTTAGCTGAAGAACCTAATAGTTTACTTTCTTAATTTTCTTAGACTGTTTCTCCTTGAGTGAAATGTTCTTGTCTCTAAGAGTATTGAGCATTAGAAGTACTTCCTTCTCTCCTGTCACTTTATTGCTCCTCTCTACTAATACTTTATAGTATAGTAGTTAAGTTATATTATAACTGTACCAACCTATTCAGGTATACTTGTAATATTCCTGATTCAACCTGTACTTCTTATACTCTACTAGTAAGGTCCTGTATCTTGTCCAAGATTTCCTATAACTTTGTATGAATATTAAAGATATTTAATGTCTGTATATTTAGATCTGATTGTATCTGCTCTAGTTTTTCTCCTTATTGTTCTGATTGTATAAAACTATACAAGTATATAATTTCCCCTTGTATAGTTCTATAATATATGTTTTGACTTTGAGTAGACCTGATTATTCTGTTAAGACCTAAGAATTGTTGTATCCAAGTCTTTGTCCTTGTAATTCAAAGACTATAATAGGTCCTCAATTTATTTGAATAAGAGTGGCTAGAGTGTGAACCTCTTCTTTGAGCCAATCTTGTACTGTTCCCTAATTGACTCTTCCTCTTACTCTAAGTATATATAACAAGGAGTGTTCCTACAAGTAGTAGGAATATGAGAATGGTTGAGGGATTGGATAATAGAGGACTGTATAATAATAAGCTTCTGTCTGTACTCAGTACTAGTTGTTGTATGTGTAATGTTCTAATCCTTTCCTTGATCTGATACAAAGCTACTTTTTATAGCTTGTTAACTTTGTTTAGTATAATATTACAAAAGTTGCTTACTTTTACAATATCTGGATATCCTTATTCTAGTACAAGTAATACACTGTGTAACAAATTATAATGTTGTTGTAATGTGTATAGATAGTCTGAGTATTCTTGGATTTGTTCAATCCAGATTTGTTGATTAATAGGAGTGCTTACTATATAGGTAATAGTTGATACTACTCTTCCTTGTTTGAAAGAGTCTAAGGGAATTTTCCCCTGTATCTAAAATAGTATTCCTTTAATACCTCCTAGTATTAACACTTGTTCCTGTGTATAAGTTACTAAGTAATTAAGAACTAGTAGTACTTCTTAATTAATCTTTCTTTTCTTACTACAAAAGAAAGTTACTTGCCTTAACAACTGTTCTAAGTAGTAGAGTAATTTATCTACCTACTTTGAATGTTAATTATTAAGGTTAGTTAATATTATAAAGCAAGTATTAGAGTTGATGTACCTGTGTACTAGCTCTAGGTTTGAGTTCCCCTTAGTAGACTAGAGCTTTACTAGAATAGTAAAGATTTGTAACTAAGTTAGAGTTTTATTAAAGTGTAAGATATACTCACTTTACTAGTCCTAATCCTTAGGAATAGTAATAGAATAGAGTATAGAGGGTAAGACTTGTAGACTTGTATAGTGAGAGGGTAGAGGAGTCCTACTTTAGTCAAGCTACAAGTGTAGCCTAGTAGGTTGGTAGTAGAGTACTTCCAAGTACTAGATAACTTAAGTTGATAAAACTATCTTTTAAGGGTTAAACTGGCCTCCTTATATACCTTTTACTAGAGTAATGTTACTCTAGTAACTTTAGTAACTCTCTTTACTGTTGTTCCTATAAAGTAGAGCTAGCTAATCCTTTAGACTGTATACTACACTAGTTTGTGTCTTCTATTAATCTGCTAACACTAGTTTGTGTCTTCTTGTATTCTAGATTAATCTTCTAATGACTCCTTTACTGTATTGTTATGTCTTCTATACTTCCTCTCATACTTCTAATGACTCCTTATAAGTCCTTCTAACTAGTTATACTGTGTAAACTGTGTAATACTTTCCCTATAAAGTAGAGCTCTCTATTGTTCTTATGACTCTGTCTGACTCAACCTATACTTCCTGTATACTAGTTTGTAATACACTTTCTTATAAGGTAGAGTATTATGACTTCTAATGACTCCTTATAACTTCTGTAATATAAAAGGCTGTACTTCTGTACTACCTTTAGAACTTACAACCAAAGTTCTAGACTGTCTTGTGTA